ACTTGTAATTTGGAATTCAATAAAGTTAGGCATGAGCTCATTAAAAAAAAAAAAAAAAAAAAAACCTCCATTTCAATTGGCATTAGTACAATAATTCAATTTTAAATTGAAAAAAACTCTATATATACTGTATATAAATTTGCATATCTTAAATTAATAAATATATATAATTTAGTAGATATAAGAGCAATAGATAATATAGTTCTTATAATTCCAAGATTAGATAAATATAATGAATATTTATTAAATAATTATTTATTTTAATATACAGTATATATTATTACTTTGAATATTTCTGAAATTTTTTGAAATAAAAAATATTTAAAGTTTTTTATTATTAAAATTAATGAAATTATTTTTGATTTACAAATTTTCGAAAATTTTGAAAGTTTTTCAGAGAATTTTTCGAAAATTTCAAAAAAATTTTTAATAAGTGAAGATCTTCAGAATTCTTTATCAAAAAATTTTTTCTGATATTGCTTTAACTAAAACATGATACTATAAACATAGCTCAGAATTTATCAAATATAGAAGATCTATATAATTAATAATACTCTACAAAAAAGCCATAGCTATAAAGAATATCAATAACTTACTGATATTAAGTATAGCTATTAATATGCATAATAGAATATATAAGTTTAATCATCAAATAGCAAATCATTATATTTAGAATAACATCTCCAATATTTTTCGAACATTATTAAAAATGATATTCAAGATATAATAAAAGATCTTAAGCTAGTATATTAGAAGTTAGAAGAAAAAAAGGCAAGGGATAAAATTAAATCATTTCTTTAACAAAGATATAAAAACCTGAGAATTAATCAAAAATGAATGGTAAACTTACTAATAGATAGAGAAAGAATAAAAATAGTACTGAATAAGATTAAAATCAAGAAAGGTAAACCTGAATACATAATAATAATAATAAAAAAGTGAAAGAAGAGATATAAAAATATCTTCAAAAAGTAAAATACTGATTTTGATAATTTAACAAGTAATTGGAAAACAGAGTACAGAGTACAAGCCCAAAGACTATATCAAAGAAAAAAGGTATGAAGATCTCTTAAAGCCAATATCACAAGAGGAACTAAGTGAAGTGTTATGAACACTCCCTAACAATAAAGCTCTAGATAAATCACAAATTAGTTATAAAATATTAAAGAGATTAAAATCTGAAGGAAAGGATACTTAAGGAAAATGTTCAATAACTTTTTAAGATAGGAAATAACTTCAATGTGATGGAAATAGAATTATATATATTCAATTGTAAAGTCAAAACCATGGAAATATAATCTGACAAACACAAAATCCATAGTTTTGCTAGAAGTAACAAGAAAGTACTTTACAAAAATTCTCACTAACAGATTGGAAAATATCTGTAAGAAGAACAATATCTTTAAAGATCTCAACTATGCAGGACTTTCTGGGAAAAGTATAACTGAACCTATTCAAATCCTAAACAATATCTATAAAGATGCATGGAAAAATAAAAAGAAAGTCTGGATACTTTTTTAGAATATAGCTAAGATATATGATACTATCAACCTGGATATGTTAAAAAAAATGATGAAAAAAATTAAAATTCTAATCAGCTTCATTAATATAATAATAAATCTATTTCAAAATAGGAAGTTTAGAATTATTTATGAAAACAATTTAATAAGTCTAATAATAGTAGGAGATGGAATTGATCAAAAGGAAACTATCTTTCCTCTAATGTAGAGAATATTTTATAACCCTCTTCTATATAAAATTCAGAACAATAAAAAATAGGAATACAAAATAACAGTTTCTTGAAATTCAGATCTAACAAAAAATAATACAAGAAAACTAGAGTCTCAACATATAACTATTGTAAGGCTCTCACATTATTCAAAATCATTATAGAAATTAAATGGCAAAATATAATATTGGATACTTCAATAAGACAATTTATCAAAAAAGTAAATAACAAGACAATAGCCTATCAATGGATATAATAGAATAGAATTCATGAAAAATGAAATCAGTAAATACAGGATCAGCATAAATATACATGAAATCTTATGTGGGATAGAATAAAAGATGGGCATATGTGGAGTACCTTCTTCAAAGACTTTCACAAAAAAAGCTTTCTTGTGAAATTGGCAAATAATAAGTTACTGATTCTAACAAAATTAGTAATAATAAGATCAAATTTTTATAAACAAGTAGTATGTATAAAATGCAACAAGGATGCAGAATAATGAATCACTTGCTAGAATACTTAGTATATGAAAAGCAATTGTAAGAAATATGGGTAAAAGGATTAGGAGAGATACTAAAAGAATTTAAGAAACTTTTGCAAAAAAGAAAAGAGGAAATAGAAGAAAAAGACATACAACTAATTACAAATGATAGAGAGGAGAAAAGAAAGCTAGATAAGTTAATATCTAAACTTATAGAAAAAGTTTTCAAAAGTGATTATGAAACACTAAGCTTTTATATAGAATTCATGAGACGTAACTGACTTATTGCAATAACTGATCTCAAATGTTATGATAAAAAAATAAGACAAAAAACTTGTAGGTGGATTACAAAAAATATAGAAGAAGATTTATAATCATATTTGGAAAGAGATTTGGAACAAAAGATATACAAAAGTAATTGAATGGAAATGGTTACAGTGAATTAATAGAAAGAATAATGTAAAAAGATCAAGCCTAAAAGTTCAAAAGATCAAGATTAAGACCAAGAAACCATCAAATCTTAAAGAAAAAAAATTGAATGACAAGAATCTAAAGCAGATATTGACAAAAGAAGTTGAATATGAAATAGATTGGTTGAGTTTTGATCTTTGTTAAAGCTTTATAAAGTGATGATCTGTAGGCAATGATACTAATAGCTGGAAGGATATTCCCTTGAACTATTAGTAGAGTGATAAATCACTTCCAAAATTGTACTTAGAGTGACAATAATCAAAATGAGTGAGTTAATTAGAGATTTAGCTTTAGTATCACATTGATATGTAAAGTTTACAAAATGTTTAATAAAGTATACATAACTAGCTTGACTGAGGAAAAAAAAAAAAAAAAAAAGATAAATAGTTAAAAAATTAATTTGATTTTTAATCTACTAAGCAAAATTTCAAAAGATTTATAATTATAACCTATAAATGATAAACTTTATAATTAAACTATAAAGTAAGAAAAATATTATTTTTAAAATTATATTTAGAGAAGACTAAATTTCAATGATAGGTGAATTAAAATATAAAAAGAAAAGCCATATCAAAAAATTTATGTATTCGGAATTTTTCCACCCAACGGTCTGGTAACATATTATAATCTTCAATAAAGAATATAAAAAAATTTTTTTTCTACTTATATATCCAACAAATATATTTTGACAATTTATCAATAACGAATAATAATTATTGTATATATTTGATACATAAATATATATGTGTACGGCTCGCATTTGCTATTTAAATGGTAATCAGTTAGAGTTATTTTTAATCAATGCGTCGCCAAGTTTCTTAAAGGAAAAACGATTTATTTTTACCTTGGCTGGAATTGTGATACATATAAAGTGAATTATGCACAAGTTGTCAATCTCAATAATTTGCTTTCTAAAATCAGTAAATAACACATAAAAAACTGTAAACTAAAAACAGCTAGATTTCATAATTGCATATAAATCCGAAGGCTATGTACATGAAACTAATTTTCAAAGTTACACTAGTTCAATACCCTTCTAAAGCAACCATCGCGCGGTATGAAGAAGAATATTGGAAAATTCAAACAGGTTCTTGTGGTTTTGCTGAAATACCCGATTCATAGATCATACGATGTATCCCCAACATTTACTTATTCGCTCCTTGTGAAATAGTGGGCAAACGAGAAAGTAGGCGCCGGTCAGAAAACTCAGCTTACTGATGAATTCCAGGAATTACAACAAAAAACGGAGGAAAGGCATAATGGCATTGATAAGCTACATGCTGCGACTAAAAATTATCTCAAGACCATGTGTACGTTCTTCTTCTATATTTCTTTTAATAGTATTACCAAAAGAAGAGCGAAGTAATTCCCACCCTTTAAAAGCATTAAGAATAGCCATATGGTAATCATTGAATAATTGTTCAAGTAGATTCATTCATTTAACCATTTGAATACAGCAAAGAAAACGGAATCAGAGGAGAAGACAAAAACACTGCCAATCGAGGCACTCGGTTCTACCATAAGGAACTATGGAGAAGATATAGGCGTCGAATCTTCGTATGGTAATTATAATATCCCTCAGGTCAATTGAATTTGTCAAGATGAAAACTTTGATCGGTAATCCACAGACTTTCCTGACCGTTATTGAAGGATCGGCGTTAGTCAAATTTGGAACGGCCAATGAGAAGATTGCGAATTTACAGTTGGAATTTGTTTCGAGGGTTCGCGAAGAATTTCTTGAAGGGACGGAGTCAACCATCGCAGAATTGAAACAATATCAAGTAATATTCTCGGTTCGCGTGTCTCGTTATGAAAAATTTTGATTAATGAATGATGTTTATATGTATGCGCACACCCGCATATCAATTAAAACGAAATCCTAATAGCAACTGAAGAGAAAACTAGAGTCGCGTCGACTTGATTACGATGCGAAATTGAATAGGGTTCAAAAATCTAAAAAGGAAAAACCAGAATTGGAAGAGGAATTACGAGCGTCCAAGGAAAAATATGACGATACGATGGAGGAACTACATTCAAAGATGCAATTCATCAACGATTCGGAGGTTAGTCCGATATGAGGTTTCATCATTTGATCACTTTGATTTATTAACAAATAGCATCAAATTAGGATCAATACATCCAAGAATTAACGTCATTCTTAGATGCGCAACTGGAATACTACAAGAAGAGTTACGAAATTCTCTCGGGTATAAGAAATGATTGGGTAGAAGGGTAAAATTTCAACGTGATTTGAGCCCTTTATGGCAGCCGAGAGCCTGTGTAGTATAACTTTAAAAAATTCACATTTATCTCTTGCATTCATTACACATGCACTGCACACACCACACACGGACCTACACAGCTCTTCATCAACTAAACCAACACGTCGAACTCTGATAAGGAAAAAGACAACGGACTCACAGAATTCAGATGACGTAGAAGAAAGGCATTCGGACAGTGAAAGTGTTCTCTCGAGCTACAATCGTTCCAAGAAGTCACGTCCAACTCCCAAGAGAACCTCGAGTTCCACGAACATCTCTAAATCGGAAGACTCTTATAATACAACTCTCAACATACCAAGTTCATCCCGAAAGAAGCAAGGATCATCCGCCAAATCCTCAGACGTAGGAAAAACGTTGAATGCACGAAAAGCAGGTCAGCCAAAGTCATGTCATCTTTGGTCATCTTTACTTATTTGAACATTCGTCCAAAATGGTTTTCTGATAAAATACTCGGGATAATTTAAAGCTACCTCTCAACCTGCAACAAAGAAACAAGTTAGAGCAATCTATAGTTATGAAGGTGATGGCGACGATGAACTTGCAATAGAGGAGGGAGAGATAATCACAGTCCTGGAAGAACATGAAGGCTGGTGGATTGGTGAAATCGTTGATCCTGACGGTAGTAAACGAAGTGGTATGTTTCCTGCAAATTACACAGAGGAAATTAAGGTCGAACCCACGCGTGCATCGCGCGCCTCACTGCGCGAAGAGGAAGAGGAAGAGGAAGATTCAATTCGAGGTGATTCTGACCAATACGAAGATGAAGAGTCCTATGGGGAAACAGTACGAACAAGAACCCCACCCCCGACATCCCGTAGCGCACCAACTCGTCAAACATCACGACTTTCTCAAGTGGCTAATCCAAGTGGATCACCACCTGTTCCATCCCGTAATTCAAAACCTCCTCCCGTTCGAAAAGCAACGACACGAGTTCGCGCTTCATCTCCAACTAATGTTGGCGGCCGGAATTCGTATATTTCCCAAGAGCTTATAGAAAAATCTGCTACTTCCAGTCATGATGTTGGTCCATGTAAAGAATGTGATTGTGAAGATTATTCTCCAAATGTGTTCAAAAAAGGCAGTTGCAACAATTGTTTTCATAGACATTAAATTAAAATTAGTGAGTAATGGTATGTATTCATAATATTTTGTAGTAATTTATATTTATCGTCACGTTGCTGTAAAACTTGTAGAATATATCTTCATAAAACAAATAAAAGTAAAAAAGTATGTCATCTTTTATAGTCATTAATTTTGCAAATTTCATGTAACGCGTAATTTATACTAGTCGGACGAGTTTCTGTTTCACGTGATTTTCGTGGAAAAGTACCGTTTACTTATTTGAAAATTCACGTGACCTCACATCGAAGATCGCGTGCAACCTCATCCCAAGTACGATCGATGCGTGTGTGACAACCCATCTTTCTTACGAAATAATCGAAATAATCACGCATTGAGGTCTTTCTCTTCTATGCCAATATGGATTTGTCACGCGAGCAAAAGTCGTACCTTAGCTTAAAGGTGATGCGCAAACAGAATACGCTTACCAACAAGAATTTCACAACCGGAGTTAAGGATGCATCGGTCAATCAATCAAAAACTTACATGAAAGACATATCGGAAGGCGAGCTGATATCGAATTCGACTTCTTTGGCCGCCAAGGACTCCTCCGATAACATCTACTTGGGCGCAACGTTTGACAGCTATATAATAGTCACCAACGAATCAACTCAATATGCACGCGAAGTAAGCATAAAGGTTGAATTGCAAACCACATCTCAGCGTTTAATATTATGGGACACGTCTGTGAATGACCCAATTCCAATAATAATAGAACCGGGAAAATCGCGTGAACATGTTATAAAACATGAAATTAAAGAGCTAGGTGTGCACAACATGGTTTGCTCCTTGCAGTATACGACGGACGAAGGAGAGAAGAGATCATTTCGGAAGTACTATAGGTTCCAGGTGCTGAATCCTTTTGCCGTGAAAACCAAGGTAAACAACATGGGAGATGGTACCGTTTTTCTGGAGGTTCAAATACAAAATGTCGCCGAGAGGTTTATGTATCTGGAGAAAATGAATTTCGAACCTATCGAGGTTTTCGATTACAAAGATTTGAATTATGTAGTGAATGACGCTGGAATTGTCGAAGCTAGGGAAGGCGAAGGTGAGAAAGAGAAGGTGGAGGGTGGAAGTAGTATCGTTGACGGCGAAGACGACGAGTTTGGAGACTTTATGAGCGGGGGGAGTGACAAAAATAGGAATTTATTATCGTTAACAAACAATCTCGGAAGCGGGAAAGATGGGAGTAATCTTGTCAAGGATAATCAGATAGATCAAACTTTGCAAGAGCCGCCAACTGAAAAAAAACTCGCAAATGTTCCATTGGAACAAGAGAGCGTGTTTGGAAATAATAGCTTTTTAAATCCACAAGACATTCGACAATACTTGTACATGTTAACACCGAAACCTCAAATAAACGATCGTCTCGGTCGCACGGTCAATGCTCTTGGAAAGTTGGACATCGTGTGGCGATCACACCTTGGGGAAACTGGGCGATTGCAAACATCCCAATTGACACGTAAACCACCGTCACTCGACGAAATCGAGTTTTCAGTGAAATCGATTCCTCCGCTGATTCAACTCGAGGTTCCATTTAAATTGGGATGTCGTGTAAGGAATCGTACAACGACAACGTTAAGAGTAGTGATGACGGCAATTAAAAATAGGATGGGATCGGTATTATTAAGTGGATCGAGTTCCAAGATTCTGGGAGAATTGGTACCCGATGGCACGATAGACTTTGACCTTGAATTTTTCCCATTGAGTCCCGGATTACAGAGGGTTGGGGGACTGAAGGTTACCGATTTGACATCCGGGTACACGAAAGAGATTGATCATCTCACAGATGTTTTTGTGGTTTTTTCGTGACGAATTGGTGGACGGTGAAATTTCCGTTCCCGTGTACGATATTCATTCATTAATTAATTTAATTAATTTATTTATAATTTAATTTATTTAATAGAAGTTTTAATATATATTAATTTTAGTAAACTTTTCGTGTCATAAAGAGAAACGTCTTTCTGGATGATCGTATTAGGATTGATCGCGCGGTTTGGAATCTCTATTTTTTCATATTCTCACCTTTACCATCCTTGATATATCCGCACTTCTCAAGCAAATCCCTCGCGACATTATTTATATCTTTGAATCGGTCTATGTTACATGATTAGTACGCGGATGTAAAAAAAAAAATAATAATAATAAAATAAAATCAATGAACAAATATAAATGTTCCCGACCTGGTCCCAATAATATACCTCCAAACCACCGTGAGACCACCACCAAAACATTCTTTGCATCTAGAATTTGCAATAGATGAAGCAGTCGGCCACCGGCAGCGGTTTCTCCATCGTCATCATTATCTAACGAGGTCCGATAATATTAATAAAGATGTGCATGCGAATTTCTGAAATTAAATTTGCATGCCTTGTAGTATTACTCCGCTGCCTTGAACAATTCTGTAGGCCATGATGTTATGTGTGGCCTTTGCAACTTTTTTATTTAACATCAAGGTATCCCTGACTAACTGAACTTCTTGTATGCTATGCACAGGGGCCAGATGTGCTACGAATACAGATTTCTTGTGTTCTAACGGTTCGCCGGATGTTATAGGAGGACAATCGATGGTCGTTGTGTGCGCCGATGGTTGTTCCTCGACATTGGGATTCTCTTCAGGTTGATAAGAATCGAGGTTCTGCTGACTAGAGTGAATATCCGTTTCGTCCAGTTGCCCTTCGGCGAGTTTTTGGCTTAAGAATCCTCTCAGCCATTCGACCCATTCAAAAATAATCACTTGACCGGGAACAAATAGTTCCTTGAACCGCTCATCGATCTCGTTTCTCATCTTATCATCAATTTTTAATGGTCCACAATACAAACTAGCAATTTCATAAATCGGAGGTGATGCCGAGGGATAATCATGTGGAAAGCGAAACTTCAGTGTGATCGTGTTTGCACTGGAAGATTGATTGCGTTTGTCGAAGGTGGAGGAAAGATTTGATTCTAGTGGCAATCTGAAATTAAAGGTTCTTGAGGAAGCCTGGTTGTCGAGATTGACTGAATCCGACCCGAAAATAGAAGTTAATGCAAAGATTTCGTCTTCTTGTAAGGCGCGATCGTCTTCCATCATTTCGAGTGCGACCATGATGGGCTGTGCGTATGCATTTAACTTATCGATTACGTAATCCGATCTCACTTTTTTGGACCAAAATTCCTTCTCGTCATGCAGATCCTTTGTGCGTATAAATTTTGGCCATGGCAGCCTCTTCGTCTTCGACCAAGGTCGTAGAACTTGGCTTCGCCGAGCCACTGGAAGAATCTCGAAAACTCGAACGATTTCCATGTAAAATCGGCGGAAGACCGGTAGATATGGTGATACTTTTTGAAAGAGCGAACAATCTTCTAATTCGTTTTGCATTCTTGAAAATCTTAAAGGCGTGGTTAAACCCCGAGCATATCCTGTCCGTCGAACAAGTCACTTGCGGTGTCTGTGAGACATGCATGATTCTTTTGGTTCAGGTATTTTAAGTTATTTTTTTTTTCCTCATTTGACGAATGATACGCGTACTTAAACTCTACCAATTACGAACTATGTATGCGACAGCTTTACGCTCCGGAAGATCATCCTCCCGAAGCTTTTCATCGTACCATTTACGTTTTTTGCTGCAAAAATGGAGCCTGTCATAAAACTTCATGGCGAAAGAGGTTGGTGAACGCTATCTCGTAATATTAACGATAGGATCTGATCAATGCTTTGAATTTGAAGTTTGAAGGTGTTCCGAAGTCAAATGCCAAACGAAAATCCGTATTGGCCGCCATCTGCTGCTGAAAGCGAGGATAACGATGAAAACGACTCGCTCGATGGCAAAAGGATCGATCTATTGGACGAGTCAAGTAATATATTTTCGAACAATTTTACAGCCGGTACGTATTGATCTTTATGTTTCATCCTTGTTTTTTTTTTGAATGAGATACTATTGACGGGCCATATTCCACGCTTTAGCCAAACAATGTGTTGTTTGTGGTCTTCTTGGTTCCAAGAGATGTGGGAAATGTCATCGAACCTATTACTGTTCAAAGGAACACCAAACCGTTCATTGGACGATTGGACAGCATAGAATTCATTGTAATAATGATAATGCAGATTCTTCTTCGTCGATGGAGGAATACGACAACCTTTGTAGAAAGTCAATTTTATTCCCGGAATTTGAAATTGTTTCCGAGCTTGAGGAGAATATGGATAAACATGACGAAAATAGGATGGATGACGATGCATTTCGTAAGAGTATCTTTCACAATCCTCCAAAATTTCTTTTCGAATTTCCTGTTCATGAAGACGTAAAAATGCTTGATAGAAGAAGGGAATTCGAGGGCTCTCGTTCCTGTCGGCGACGAGATTTATGAAAACACCCAAGTTAGTGTGGACAAAGCTTTCCTAAAATTTCAAAAGAAAGTCAGACCCTATCCGGACCAGGTGTTAAGGTTTGTCATCCATACGTCAAAAATGTGAGATTTCCGTGCTCTCACTAATTATTCGGTTTGATTTCTAGGTACGCTAGGTTAAATTATGAGAATGAGAATGCTGACCCATTGTGGGTTAGTGACATCGGCAAACCGACTCCCGAGGATATACCTCCATGTTCACACTGTAACCAAGAGAGAACCTTTGAATTTCAGGTGGCTTATTTTTACTTTTAGCAATCGCATGTATTCCTCAATCATCCCGAGTTCACTTATCTAATTTCAATTTTACAGGTTCTATCTACACTCCTTAATTACCTAGGTATTGATAATACGAAGAACGATTCTCTTGATTGGGGAACAATATTTGTATATAGTTGTAAAAATAATTGCCATGTGAATAATATGCATTATATTGAAGAATTTTTGTGGAGACAAGATTTTAGTGAGGAGGGCGTAAAATGGGAAAGATGTGTGTAAAAATATTATTTTTGATGTTATAAGAAAAGTGAAAGAATCTAAAGAAATAAACTTTTTAATTCCGGATTCGAAAGTAAAGAATGTGGGTCCTTGGAGCCGAAGACTCCAAGAAAGAGGTAGTTAACGAATGTCCTTCAAATATTAAACCCAAAGCTGCGCATGCAAGCTTTATGAGCTTTGATTAAATCTTTACACTTTTCCTCATCACCATATTGAAATATGCATTCGTCACGAGCTTTCTTCGTGTCGGGGCAAGCACAACAAGGTTTGACTTTGGTTTGTTCGCCTGAGACAGGAGAGTTGGAGGGAAGTTGAACAAGATCAGTTTTATTGTTGTGGGAAACGGTTGTGTTTACCATTTTTGTGAGTTGAGGAAATGTCTTTTATCAAATGCAACCTGATTGGTTGTTCAAATCTAATCGAGTTTTTAAAAAAAAAAAAGAATATTAATAATAATAAAAATGCACTTTTTTTTTAAAGATGAAACGAACCATTTCCATTATACAAACTCGGATGCGAGTAAACAAGGTTCCTCACTATTACTTTATAAATCATAGATTTATATTTTCTTCGGCCCCAAGGCATCAAGCACAAAGTAACGGGAGAAAACGACCTTTTCTTGGTAAGTAGTTGTTGTACTACGTTTTCTTTCATTGCTCTAAATCCTAACGTTGCTTCCCCCTAAAAAATAAAACATGCAGAAAGATTGAGTATAGAATGGAAGAAGACGGAGATAAAATATTATCCTATACCGGTGGGCATGGGAATAGCTTTCATCGCTTTCCAAGCGCTCCGTCATAAATACTCTGAACGTGAAACAGACAAGAAAGATCAGTACGTTTCTGATCGCCCTATTATAGTGGGTCCGTGGCAGGTAACTATTCTTCCAAATTTGTGCATAGACTTTATACATAATATTGATTCTTCATGTGACTAATAGGTTCATGCCATTAACGCACTTCCACTTCGAGCGCTGTCACGGCTATGGGGCAAGATCAACAACGAGTACACTTTGCCGGTTTTTCTAAGGGCTCCTTTTTACAAACTTTACAGTTGGATATTCAATTGCAATTTAGAAGAAATTGAAAATTCCGATCTCGCGAGTTACCCAAACTTGGGTTCATTTTTTTATAGACCGCTGAAATCTGGTTCACGACCCATTGAAAATGAGTTTCTTGTAAGGTTTGAAGAAGATATTTTTTTTCGCATGCATTTATTTTAAACTACCCCCGTGATTTTATCTTATAGATTTAAAGGTATCGCCAGCAGATGGGACAATTCTCACCTTTGGGCTAGTAAATGGCGGAAAGGTGGAACAGGTGAAAGGGATGACCTACTCTCTGAATTCATTCTTGGGTCACAAGGGCAGGGAAGATATCGCAATGGAATCAGCGTTGCATGTTATCAGTATGAACGAAGCAACGCATATCGCAGACGAAAAAGAGTTTGCAAATGTCAATGGGATCACATATTCTCTGGATTCGCTGCTGGGCGATGATCCTGCTGAAGCTGTGAAAAATGAGAATATTGTCGGTGATGTGTCAATTCGAACTGAACCGAATTATGAAAAAAAAGAGCAAATTGTCGCAAAGAGTGTGAGCAAGAATTCGATTGATTCTACTCATGGACATCAAGTGAGTGAAGGAAATGCACTGTTCTTTTGCGTTATCTATCTCGCCCCTGGCGATTACCACAGATTTCATTCGCCAACGAATTGGGTTGTCGAGTCGCGGAGACATTTTGCCGGTACGTTTTCGTTATACCCAGTCACCCGACTACGCCTTGATAGGATGTATGTTATAGTTACAATTAATATCCAAATTTAGGAGAATTGTTCTCGGTTTCGCCATACATGTTGAAGTTGATGCCTGATTTGTTTGTGTTGAATGAACGTGTTGCTCTGCTCGGAAGATGGAGGCACGGCTTTTTTGCGATGGTTCCGGTTGGGGCCACGAATGTGGATTCTATTAGGATTAACTTTGATGAGGTATTTTTTATTTTTCACCAGTTGCACGTGAAAATTAGAATGTTGTTATCCTGTACATCTCACAATTATCTCTCAGACTCTTCGCACCAATCAAAAAGAAGATATTGCGAGCGGAACGTATACAGAGGCTTCTTACAAAAACGCCAGCAAACTGTTATCCGGTTACCCGCTAAGAATCGGAGATGAGATTGGCGGATTCTGCTTGGGCTCCACTGTCGTATTGGTGTTTGAAGCCCCCTTGAAATTTAAATTTTGCTTAGAACCCAGTCAAAAAATTAAGTATGGTCAAAAACTAGGGGTACTTTCAACTGAATGAAACTGGTCATTTTTGTCTATAAGAAATATCTGTCATTCTATGTAAAATAAATTATTATTATTCCATATAAATTCTCTGTATTTCTAATCAAACGCCTTTATTCATTTCCTTCTTTATGACGGGTTGAATTTGTTCGTATTCACGTTTCAATCTGATTTGTTGTTCCAGTTCCATTTGGTTCTGCTCGAACTTGTGTTTTTTCTCCCGACGTTCTTCGTCTCTTATTACTCCCGTGTGCATAAGCTTTTAGAAATTATCAGTATTTGTGATTTAACAAGTTTGAAATGGTGTGAGCGATACCTACCTCCTTTTCTTTCTTTTGCAAATAATGAACACTGAATATCATTCCCGCAGAAACAAATATGGCGGAGATTAGAGTTAATTTCGCAATTCGAGACATTTTTTTTTTTTACATGTATGTTGAACTGTGCGACTAATGCAATTATCATATCACGTGTCTGAACGTTAATCCCCTATACCACTTTAACCCTTCGTGGCATTGAATTCCACAATCCCCCCTTAAAATTTTTACATCGAATTTTGACCATTCCTCTTCTAGTGCTATTTCCTATTCACCCTATATTTTGTTCAGTGTTTTATTAATAAAAGGGACAATTGAAATTAACATTTATCTTGTATTGTTTCAGGATTTACAAATTACTAGAAAGTGAATAATGTAAGAAGTTAACTATTAAACGATTCAATCTAAATCTAATCTAATTAGGATTATGAAAAACATATTATTGCTTAGTATACTGTAAATAATAATAAGATAAATAACTTGTTAGATATATGTAATTGCGTATTATCAAATGCATCACTTTTAAGTTGCAATCAATATTATTTAAAATATATGAATGTATCTATCAAGGTATCTACCAATTTATAGAATTGCCTAGAAAAAGAATCTGTTTTTCTTTCCTTAAACTTCTTTGTCTATTTAGTTGTAAAAGAAGATAAACTTGAGAGGAAGCTATCTCAACTAGTTGAACTGTCATTTAAATTTGTGATAGTCTTTTCTATATAGTCTAAAATTGCTATATCCCAGTTTATCTATATTTTTTTTAGTAGGAAATAAATTTTGTTGGCTTCATTATAAATTTTGAAATCTTTTTATAAGATCACTAGTTCTATTTTAGTTTTTTTATTAAAGGTGAAATAGATTCTTTTCTTTTTTAGATACTTGTATATACTTTAATAATTTTTACTTTAAGTTTGTGCCAAGTATTCTCAAGATCTTGGATACTATTCTATTTTGTGCTTGAATTTTTCTTATTGCTTAGCTATAGAGTTTATAGGATCAAATATTCTTCTTTATTTTATTTTGTATTACTTTTGGACTTGATTTTTTAGCAGATTATTTGTTTTTTTTTTTTGTTTTTTTTATAACCCTAGGTCAGGCTAGGTACGTGTGCTTTATTAAATATTTGTATACTATATATTTTAAATAATTCGCTAAAGCTAAGACTTTACCTAACTCACTCATTGCTGTTTTGTCTTGATATACCAAAACTCTAAGTGCAACTTCGAGAGGGATTTATCACTCTACTAATGATTCAGGTGAATACCCTTCCAACCTTTAACATCATTGTCCACAGATCACCATTGCAGATCACTATCCATTGTTCTGACCAAGCTTAAAATCCAACCACTTTATTCCATAAGTAACACCTTTGAGTAGAATTTCTTTTAGGCTTTTATTTTCTTGAGTTTCTTCCTCTGGTAGAGGATCTTTACTTTTGGGGACTAATGGTTTTAAGCTATGTGTGCCTGAGGGTCGATAGATTTTTTCTACTCTGCAGATCCCCTGTGAATATTCCCATTCTATTATCTTCTCACATCTTTTGTTCCAAATCTTTTTCCTTATTTGGTTGCACACTCTTCTTTGCATCTTTGATATCTATCTTCTTGCCTTATTACCAATTCTTTTTTCATGGTATTTTAGATTTGCCATTTCTAGGATTAGGTCTCTCCTTACTAGTCCTGTGCAAAAACTTAGAATGTCCTGACTGGTTTTTGAGGTCTGTTCTACCAGTTTGGAGATCCATTTATCCATCTCAACTATTTCTTCTTCATCTTGGATAATCAACCTTGTATGTTTTTCTTCTACCTCTTTTTTTCTCTCTTGTAAGAGCCCTCTGAAGTCTCTAAGGATCCCATCTTGTCCTTTATTTCATGCTTCCTGTAATTGTTTTTTATATGTTGGACACTCTAGTAAATGTTCGAAAGTTTCACTTTGCTGGCTATATATAATATATTTCACTTGTTTGTAAAGGTTGGGCCATCTAATTGCCAGCTTGTTCAGAGTTGATAGCTCATTATTCATTAGTTTTATAAGGAAGCTTTTTCGCTGTGATTGTTTAAAGGAAGTGTTCCAGGTGTGTCCTTCTTTTATTCTTTTCCATATAAGGTCCCAAGTATAATCTTGCTATTCTATAATTTGGTGACTCCATCTTTTTTCAGTTTTGCTTTGTTGTGTCCACTGGAAGGCAGTTGTTTTATTGTTTACTTTTTTGACAAACTGTCTTATTGGATTGTCCAGTGTCTTTTCTTGTCATCTAATTTCTGAGATAATCTTGTATGAGATCAGTTCTTTCCATTCTATTACCAGGAGTTTCAGAGCTTCTTTGGCTAGGACATCTGCTTCTTCGTTATGGGAATTATTGGAATGTACCTTAACCTTGATAAGTTGCAGGTTTATGGTCTTTTTCTTTACCAATTCTAACATTCGTGCCCATAGAGACCAGTTTTTTTCCTTTAACCATTTTTTGTGAGTTTGCTTTGGATTATTTCTTTCTATTGTTTTTCACTTGGAAATACAGGCCTGGCTATCTGTATGGATTTTCATGTCACTGTCCACTGGAACCACCTGAAGTATTGTAACAATTGCTACAAGTTCAGCATGTGTTGAGAAGGGCCAATTGTCTACTCTTGTCTGAAAACTACTTTCTCTGCCCATATCTCTTATCTGGATCCATACTGCTCTATCTTCATTTCTTCCTTTCTGTGATTAATGAGCAATCCATCAGAGTAGAAAATTAGTTTTTTAATATTGGATCCCAGGTTATGTTGAAGTATTTTTATTAGGCAGTCCTGATATACTCCTTCTATAACATTGTCTCTAATAATGACCTCTTTCCATCTTTCGATATCTACCCAATTCACTATATTGGTTGGAACTAAGGTTTGAGAGTTTGGATCTATATTAGTAATCTTTTCCATTGTCCCTTTTAGTGATGCCTTAGAGCAGGAGATTGTTAATTCTTGAGCTCTTCTGGTTAACTTTTTTGTATTGAGATATGAAACTTAATATACATCTTTCATATCTCTCTCTAATATATATCTCCATTTTTGTTTTATACCCTCTGGACATCCTGGATATCTTGTTAATATCATCGTTTGAGTATTATCATTACTACAGCAGTTTAAGTGTTAGACATTGACTTTGTGTCCTACTTTTGTCTATTGTAGTTTTCCCCAGATTATGTGATGCCCAGCTTTCTTTGTAATTATACATAGTTTTTGTCGTTTGTCATGGTCTGGATTAATTGCAACATATTTTGGTTCCCACTTTGTTCAATCTCTTTTCCATGTACTCATGAGTGGCCTACACTATTATTTGGAAGAGTTTTGATTAAAGCTTGAAACCTTTCCGGAATAGGACCTTTACTGATGTACTGCAGTAGTTGGGGCATTCGCTAATCCCTAATTTCTTTAGTAGCTTGATCGATTAGCTGGTCTACATACAGCAGTTTATTGTTTCTTAGTAATAGTATGACTTTTCTATATTCTTTATTGTAAGGTGTTCCTTAATTAAACTATTTCCTTTGCTCCATTCAAAGATTTCTTGCCATTTCCAATTGTGAAAGGTTATTCCTATATCTTTCGCCAACTTCATTACTTGGAGCGTAAAGTTTCTTCTATCTGATAAGTGATTCAGAGAGTTGCATATTAATAGATTAAGCGGTTCCCAATTCTTTATCTATGCTTGTTTGAGTCAGATAATTGTTGTGATTTTTGCGGGACCAGGATCATTTAGTCTATTGCATAATCCTGTTATTTGACTTTCTTGCTGGAGCATCCAGATGCTTTTCA